AGAGGAGCAATGTAGCTTCATGGTACATTGAATGTAATAGATGCAGTCATCACTGGTTTTGCCGTTTTACTATTCATTTGTTTGTTGCGTTTTTTGAAACGCCCTATAAAAGACAAGCAGCCCTTATTCAATGATTCATGTGTCTCTATAATTAGATTTTTAATGTAATGTAATCTTATGAGGGTTCCAGATGAAAGATATCTAATATTTCAAGTCTATTAAATCTGCTGTGCAGCTAACCATTATATATATTAGAACTGCTACATGTGTACATGGTAAATGTACTCAAGTATCCATTTCATAATACCTTTAAATTTTGATGTATCAAATGAACAACATAGAATACAGGGTGGTCAAAAAGCCGTCAACCCTTTTCCTCATATCTTTGTCGTTTTAAGTAACCACTCCCTGAAAGGAGCACATAGGTTATCGCAAATAATTTTAGTTCATTTTGGTCATCCAAATTCAGTATCTTTAAAGACTCTGGAGCAATCAACTTTTCCTTTTAGTAAATCGAACATGTCTCAAAGCACATTCTAATTACGCATTCAACAATATAATAAAAGGTTGCATTTTTGGTGAAAATTAGGTCAACATTTTTGAAAAAGTATGTTGATTGGTCCATTGCCCCTTCAATATCACTTAGGTCTGATTAACTAAATTATCAATATATATACTTTTCTTGAAGATAATGAATGGATCTAAAACATACACCCATGTTCATGATCAGAAAATATTCATAATTCGAGTCAGAATCGTTTGAAATTGTTTGCGATAACCTATGTGCTCCTTTGAAACATCTGTACATCATTCAAGTTCCTACTAGCCTACCAAGTTTCATGACCATTGGGCTGATAGTCACAATATCATAGCATTTTAAACAACATGCCCCAGATGGCCACTTTTGAGCTGTCTGAACTGGTCTGGTATTTGGATGAACTCCATTTCTAACTTGATACTCTGCTAAACTCTAACAATAATGTTTTCCTTGGGAGCCAGGCACTTGATAAAGTAGTGGAGAGGAACCTTCACACAGACAGATGCACAGTCTAGTGTATACACAGCACATAGGGAAAGGGTCCTTTACCTTACGAAAATGCAATAACTATCAACATTGAATGCAATATTGTGATTCTCAGGAAGATTTGGGGGGGGGGGACAGAGCCATGCCCCATATATTCAATGATGCTCTAGAATGTCATTGGGACCACTTTAATAACCACCATGACCACATTATCAGTAGGATAACAAAATAATGAATGGGCACCCCATTGCCTCAATATGGCCCTATTTAACTTTTACCAATGGGGATACCCCAAATATACAGTGTAGGAGAATGACAACAGAACAACATAGGACCTCAAAAGTGTGATCACATGACAGGCCATACTTGCTGATGAATGCAATTAGATCATAGACAACTTTGGACAATGTGTGCAGATTTGCTCGCAGTACAATGTTGGCCAACTGAGGCACATTGTTTAAAGTGCTGTAACATTGAGACTATTAGTTCGATATTCGTGAATTAAAGTAGTCTAGCAGGAAATTGAATGATGTACGTGTGCCAAATATCAGGGCAGAATTTCCTAAAATGGCAAAGATATGAGGAAAAACTAGGGTTGCTGCTTTTTGACCACCCTGTAAAGAAGAACAATATCATATCATGTTATTTAAGTACCATATACCATGAAAGGATAAAAGGTGGAAAATAAACAAGAATAAAATTATCAAATAACTTTTATCTATGTTGGTTTTGGAAAATGTAACACATTTACATTGTTATATGCAAGATGACCACAAAAATACAACACTCTGATTTTTGAATATAACTCTTAATTATGGTGGTATATTCTTATTGCATTAAGTGTTCAACGAAGCAAAAAGGTGGAACACTTATACTGAAGCTAGTAATCTGAGATTTAGAGGTATCAAGTTTTCTAAGTTTGTTCACGATTGCTTTTATGTTTATTATCATGGATATACATGTATCCTATTAACACACTTTTCAAGAATAACTCTGTCAATTTTTATCAAATAGGCAACTTAATTGAACATGATTGACAAATACAGATCAGAAATTGATATGAGAGCATGCCTATGAAATATAATATCAAAGCCATAGTTACAAAGTAAGTGTATCATTATTACCACAACTGAACACTCCATCTACACTACAAAACCCAAAGAGATTCCACCTAAATTGAGATTTATTCCGAGATTAGAGGATTGCATTTTTGGGATCACCCTGTATATCTAAACAATATTTTACTTGTTCTTGATTCTTTATTGCATGGACTACCTAGGAACTAGGTATGTTCTCTATGTTTACGTTTGTTTACCTTGAGAGTTGTAGATGTTATACATAATGTTGGAATGTACTGACTTTTTACCATATTAATTTACATTCTTACCACCTATGTTAGCATCGTTATATTCTGATTGCATTTGAATAGAAAATGAATACATATTAATGAAAACATATTAATATTACTAGGTAGGGGGGGGGGGGGGGGGTTATTCTGCACGTAATCTGTTCTGGTAAGAAAAAGTTGAACCTTGAACAACCAATATCACGCTTATCCATATCCAAATGTTACTTTACTGAACGAGTACACAGGGTGCTTGCTGGACCAGTTGTAAATATTTGCCTGTTCTGGTAAGAAAAAGTTGAACTTTGAACAACCAATATCACGCTTATCCATATCCAAATGTTACTTTACTGAACGAGTACACAGGGTACTTGCTGGACCAGTTGTAAATATTTGCCATTTGCAGCTAAAAAAGTAGGTAATGTCTATATTCAAGAAGAAATTTATTTCCTACGAGAGCTAGCCACCAATGTTACTACTAATATGGATCCCTAGGTATACTAAAATTGAACCCTAGACATAAAAAATTATGTACCTTTATAATAACCAGTTCTGGAAAAAAAACAGGAGCAAAACCCGCTGAACAAAAAATATTTCATCAAATCAATCTCCCTCATCTTTTTGAATATAACAAGATAGAAATAACCAAAAACGAAGTAGAGTATTATAGTCTCCTTTTGGCAAAATCTACAGTCTACACCCATAATGTGGCGTGAAGCCATATTATTAGCCATATTCCTGCTTCAGTAAAGGTTTTCTGACCATAAGTTATTAGCCTATAGAATTTGAGTCAAACCTGATTACTGTTTTTTTGCGTTATCAGAAAAAATCATATTTTTCTTGAGAAATGGTGGCCTTTTTTAATTCAGCACACCTTCTTGAGCATTCCCATGTCCTTTTTAACAGAGGTCTTGCCTTTGGATCAAATCCTATAAATGGTAATTATGTAATTAAAAATTACTTTTTTCATGGAAATTCCTTCTTGAGCAGAATCCTATGTCCCAAAGGCATCAAATTTGTGTCAAATCTGTCGACAAGTATTTGAGTTGTCAAAGATTATATTTTTTATGGAAAATAGTGGCCATTTTGAAATGGGTGTTCATATTGAAAATGCTTTCTTGAATGGAAGTTACCTACCTATAAGGCATTAGCCTATAAAATTTGGAAGAAATCTTTTAACTTGTAGATAAAACAATATAAATTACATTTTTTCATGAAAAATGGTGACCATCTTGAAATTTAGTGGCCATTTTGAAAATTCCCTCTCATACAGAGGTCATATGCCCATAAGGGATCAGCCTATAAAATCTGTCAACCAGTATTTGAGTTATCACCATGACAGATGAATTAACAACAAACAAATAGATGGGCATCTTACTCATTCATATAAACGGGAACACCCTTGATATAGTAAAAAACTGATGGTGTTAATATAACCACAATTAGCAATGCCCACCTGGTTGTATGGTAACTATAATATTGTACCTTGTTTTAGGTCTGGATTTACTATAAAACGTTTCTAATAAGCACTTTTAGAGGGATGCTCCGCTTGATTTGAATGTTAAGGCTATAAATATAAATAACCACTTATCTACTCCACATGATTTGTTGGAAAACAATGGTTGCATTTACGCAACGATTTTTGAATCACGACTTAAGTCCTTCCATTTCAGCATATCAAATAATTACTTTTTACATTCACATTTTCAACAGTGAAAGGTTTGGTATCGATATGGCGAACTGAATTCAACATTGTTTTCCTTTTAAACCAATTATTGAAAACATTCTGTAAAAAACATGGTCATTAATGTATTGGTCACTGATTGATGACAATTTAATGCGAAAATAATTTAAATATGTTTTTTATAACTGTTTTTGATTTTTAGTGCAATTGTTTTTGTTCCTTTCTACCAATTCTTTGGATCGAGAATGAAATAAAATATCTTTCCGAATCTTGTTGGAACAAAATAGCATATACAACATTTTCTTAAACCTCTCAATATAGTAGTTATACATAGGAAAGTTTGGTTTATTTAACAAAAAGTATTCTGGTAGACTGGTTTAAGAGAAACATGTGTTCAATTCAGTTCGTCATATTGATACGAATCCTTTTTATTGTATAAATTTCTTAAGATGGGCCTATTGGAAAGAAATGGTAGACATCTTTCAATGTTTCATACCCTATGGACATGTCAGCAAGAAAAACAATAGATAAGCTCTATGAGTCCAATTCCTTTGTCTTCAAGGCACATGTTTGTGCAGCATGTTACATTAAGTACACATAGTCATGCGCTTTCAATTTAACAATGAGCACTTTATCTAATCAAAATAGGCAGGGACAAGCATGACAAGCACAAAATATTGATACCCTGCATATTTAATTAAATAATTTAACAATTATGTATTAATGTTTCTCATCATTTTTAACCAAAGTACTAAGTAAAGGGACTTCCTCAAAAATGTAACTTCCAATTCAGCTTAAATTTCCTAGATTCTTTGAAGGCAAATCTAAATTCAACATCTGTATGGCAGTCTGAAACATCTGATTTTGAAATGTAGTTGAAATAAAAAGAGTGGACCATGACATCTGTTGGTTAGAAACTAGGACAAAAGGTGTCTCTGAATGCCTACCTGGTACCCCAAACATCTGTTGTTGAGGTTGTTGTGCATTCCCATATAACGCTAAAATGGAATCTTTGGTTGATTGAGACTTTTCTTGACTTTCCTTTGATTCACCGAAGAGGTTCTCTTCTGTGGCTCCTCCATTTTGAAGAGGTTGTGATTGAGGTACCGCAGAGGCAACTGGTTGTTGTTGTTGTTGGGCAGGAGCTTGTTGTGCATTAACATTGGGATTTGGAGTGGTGCTAGCAGCCAAAAAGTCACCAAAGGGATCAACATTGTTGGATACTGAGGGTGTATCTACAGTAAGAGAAATACATGATTTAAACCATCACGTAAGCATTGGGTATACACACAAAAACATTTAATAACTTGTCTATATAATTAGATGACAAAACAGGTATTAAAAGGTGACAAGTAAACACGTTTGTCAAAAAATAATGACATGTTTATTATACAAAAGCCATGACTTTGATACACGTTATGTATAACTAATTTTGTAATGACTGAATGGTATAACAGTTACATATTCAAGTTTTTTCCTTCATAATTTCAAATAAATGTTATGATTGCCATAGAAACTAGAGAGGCTTGTCAAGTTTTGTCATGGCAACTATAATAGCCTTCTCACATTAAGACTATATTTGTCAACATATATATGGGCACAGTGCCTAAATTAAAAAAAGTGAGTAATTGCAAAAGCTCACTTTGTGAGCTAAAAAGACATAACCATTTTTCGAAATTAAGTTAAAATGTTCAAACTCGTTGTGATTGTTGAAACTGCCATCTTTGGAGTTTCAAATGTTTGAATTCATATTTCATGAATAAAGACTAAATCCTTGATTCTTTGACACTATTTAACTCTATAATGACCACTAGTGACATTTTAAAAAAAAGTAAAAACCCAAACATGCGTACTGTGCAATAGCAACCAAATAGACGATATAGAACATGGTTTCCTGAAATGCCAAGTGATGGAAGATTTCAAACAACAATGCTACAGAATCCTGAATGAAAAGATACCTGATGACCAAGCTTTTATGTTAGGATCTCCAAGATTGTCTCTCAGCCAAAACCTAGCAACCTTACTCATAAAGAGATTCATGTACATTAATAAATTGGAAGTAAAAACACCTACCATAAATGCTTTTCAAAGATACTTAATAAGAGAAAAGAAGGCTGACAAATATATTGCAAAAACACATGGACAAGAAGAATTGCATGACAGAAAATGGAATCTTATAAATTCAATGATAGAAAATTATGTATAACCCCCCTTTCCGAGCTGGAAACCAAATACTACAAAACATACATACAGAGCCAGAAAGGGGGTAAATAGAAAAACCAAACTCTCACATTTTGATGTTTTGACCCACTATACTTAGATCTAGTATTATAGCCTCTCCCCTCCCCTGTAAACCCCCCTTATATACTTTCTTATAAAGAAATGAGCGACCCTAATTATATTTGTATTAACTGTATTATCATGTGACCTATATTATAATGAAAATCTAAAACTTGAATAAATATTTATATAAAAAAAAAAAAAAACAAAAAAAACTAGTGACATTTTGGGAAAGAATATATTTGCCTTACTGTGCTCTCCGCAGAAGAAATCATATAACTGCGTTATCTGCATTTATATCAGGATGCAACATGAGTAATGGAAGTCCATTCTCATTCCACTGTTTATGATGCACAATGGATCATAAATATAAATATAGATACATTTGCCTACCTAAGCCAAGCAGATCTACAGCGGATGCAGTTTGTGTCTGAGGAGTGGCTGCAGGGGCCTTTACTTCTGCTTTAGGGGGACTGGCTTTACTGGTCTCTGGTCTGTTCACAGTAGCCTGAAAGATTTTTCACATTCTTAATCAAATCCTTCACCCTGGGCATGATGGCATTTCAATATTTCAAAGTACTCCCAACAGAAAATTAGTTTAAAGACATGTAATTTGTCAGTTTAGAAAGTCTTGGAAATCTCTCATACCCATATATTTAAATTCATTTTTTACTGCACTATCAATGTAATTGTGCATATTTGCTGCCTCTCAGAGTTTTAGAGGATAGAAAAAGAAAGAAATCAAAAATACTGAATGCACAAAACAAATTTTTAATGACGAATTATTAGTTTGATGAAATGATTCAGACTATCACAATGATATTACATTTTTTGAGTACCATAGCACCTAGTGAGTATGGTAGTAACTTGAGTCACATACATTGAGTCACTATGAGTCACTTACATTACTTAATTGGACTGAACTTTTGGGCTTTGGCCGTTTCTTTTCTTTCTTCTCTTCAACCAGCTAAAATATAAATAAAAATTAATTAATGTAAATCTGTGAAATAAACCTTTTGATTAAATAAAATAGTATTCATTGGACAAAGTCAGGTAACTATGGTAATTCCAATATTGTCATCTTTCTAAAAAAGGAAACATGAACCACAATGAATGTTCATATCTTTATAAGATGTATAATAAGGAACAAAAACTTCATCAACTTTAATTGTATAGTCGGAAACAATCAATTAATGACATTAACATATTGAAGTACTTATTAAAATATCATGAAATGTGTGAAGCATTGACAATATAATCTTTAATTGAGTTATATTGATATACAGGTTGTACCATAGGCTTTCAAGATCTGTTGAAAGCCCATGGTTGTACTAACTATGATTCCAAAAGATTAATGTCTTAATGTGCAACACTATATGGCTATTAAATGCTTGAATGAAAAGATTCTCTCTAATCTTCTCTTTAAAAATAATGAATTCAAGCGATTGAGATGTAATCACTCAAAACAAGATATTCCTCCACCAATAACACCATACACCCCTTTATTTATAAATGTGAGATCCAGAGATAAAAATGGAATGTATTAAAGAACAGTTCAAAGTCTTGAACATTGATTCTACTTATAGCCGAGAATATACAGTGTACAGTACAGGTCCCAGTACCCAGAATCAGGATTAAGTCAATCTAATGCTTTTTGTGTAACAGGTCGCTTATCTTTAACTTCTCACTTATAACCTTGTAATACATGTATTGTGTAACTCCCATATAATGGAAGGAAGAATGTAATGATTAGAGGTTAGAGTGCTCATTTACATGATTTATGAACTAATATATTTCTAAGGACACCTTTGCAGCCAGTCTAAAAATGTCAAGTTTGTTGGTGACACAACAGCTTGCATCATAAAATTGGTCATCTCAAATCTGATAGGCAATTAACTTAAGATTGATCAATTTTTGAGTAACCAGGGACATTGAACACTGGTTTTATTTCTGGTATAATCCTGACATAGACTAGACTATCCCATCACGGTCTTTGTATTGCAAATGCTAAAAAACTCATAAAGAAATACTTCTACTTCAATCCCATTTATGTATACAACTGTATAATATATGGTCAAATTATAGCCATAATGAATTTATCATTATTCTAGACTAATGTATTATGTCACAAGTAGAGAAGTAAGACTGTAACAGAGATAGAGAAATGAAAGAGAAAAGAGAAACAAAATGTTTTATAGAATTCTATAGAGATTTGTTTTCGTCATGACCATTTAAGTCCAAAATGAATGTGTTGTGGTATTGTCATTTAGTATAGCATATCCTGTAAGGCATTGTCTCATGTTCCTTACTAACTAAGTTCTACCCACAGATATAGGAAATTATTTTTGTGGGTAACCAAAAAATGTTACACCTTTTATTCAAAAGTAAATTCACATAAAACTTCACCAAGAGTGGTTGGTTGGTCTGGCAATTAACAAAATGAATTTCATGGAGAACTTAGTTCTGAACTTTTGAAATGACCCCTTAAAATATCAAAGATGTCAAATCAATTGCCCCCCCCCCCCCTCCCTGCTTTGACCACAATATCAAACTGGAATAAAAATGGTCTGGAGTCAAACATTATAAAATAAAATACAGAGAAAGAAAATAAAATACAGAGAAAGAAAAACCATGTATGAAAGTTCTACCTTTGGATTACTATCATATTTCTACAACAGAGACACACATTCATATACATTTGTATTTTGTATCATAAATTATAAATACAGTGAGATAACCAACATTGAAATAATTGAATTTGAAAGCTTTGTTTGAATCTAATATTTATACAACAATAAACAAACAATACAGTGTTATTTAATTGTACAATTATACCCCTCCCACTGAATTTTCAAAATGTACTTTCAATATTTTTCAAAAAAGGTGAGTACTACTGTTAACTGACACGATGGGAGTTGTACAATGAAAATCATCTAAATGAATTAGTAAAAGTGAGCAAATATCCATGTATATCAAGCTGTCAATCAAATACCAACCTGTGTTCTGGGCTTCGGTGGCACCCATTCTTTTGCTATATATTTCTTGGTCTCATATTTGGCTCGAATAAATGATTCCAGAGCACTTAAATTAGTCAAGGAAAAATAAATTATTTTAAATACTGTGCATGTTAAATCTCTCAATTAAAATATCTTGATTAATTAATCTTGTTTATTCAAATTCAATTTATAGAAGAGTAGAAATTCAAAAATAAATAGTTTAATATTTTTGTTAACTCTGATTATTATAGACAAAGGATACGAATCTGTTTGTGGTCTTCTGAAGCCATCGGGAATGTTTGCCTCATATACTGCGCGGGCACGACTATTGCCCATATCCTCAACACTCTGAAAAGGAGGAAATAGTTTATTTTACATTAAATAAGTGTTAACCAAGGCAGAGGAAGAGTTAATCAAGATATCAAAACATGTACAACTCATGAAATGTCAAGATCAACTATTAATTGGATACACACAGGTTAACAATTTCTCATTGTTGATCTCCTGTCTAGGTAAATCATATACTGCACCTCTTATCTTATATAAGATCAATTTTTCTATGTTGTGCCGAGACATAATTACATTTCAGATTGACCACCCATTCCCGAAAAAATTGCAACATTTTTTATTTTTTAATTTTCTTAGGTAACAAAACTTATAGGGCTAAATTGTATTTGTGGGCATAAACATTTGCCAATATAATATATATACAATATAATTAATTATATTAAATATATTTATTCCTGGATACTTACAGCAATCTGTTCAGGGGTCCATGTATCAAGATTGACAGACTTCACCTTTGATATATGAACACCTAAATTTCTGTGAATGCCTGCACATCTGATACAGAGGAATATACCAAGGTTCCATGATGCCCATCTTGGACCTGGTGATATAAAATAATGTGATGATAATAAAATTGGGGCAATATGGCAATATATATTGAGCATCATGATTGTATAGTTACAATATCATGATAGTTGTATAGTTCCAGCACAATGATAGTACAGTATAATTATTCTATTTGAGGACCTTGATTCTACATTAAGCTGTCAGAAATAACTAGGTACCATTTTTTTTACTACCTACGGCCCTTGGGCAGATATATTATATTGGCCTCAGGATAATCCCAATATCCTGAACCTCATATAGGATAATCTCTATTTGTTCTATAGATAACACTGTACTCGTCACATACAGCACTTCGGCACAAATCACTTCAAAATAGCTAGGACAGAGTCTTTTATAGTGATCTGCGGTATTGCCTGAAGTACCGTTATGGTGGCATTCTGGCCTAATGTCGGCATTGAAATTCAAATACCCCATACTAGAATATCTAAAGAATCAATTAAACTTACCAGAAATCGCAAGATTAAGTGTTTAACATCGATAAAAAGTGAAAAAAGTAATCTCTCAACATCGGAAATATTTACATTTTGTTTTTGTCTCCTTTTTGAAGAGTTTGAATTTGAGGAATGACTACGTTAAATAGCTGGCTGTAGATGGCTTAATTCAATGCAGGAATTATTGATAATCAGGTAAGACATTGATAAATCATGACTACAGTGCTCACCATGAATGACACCTGGATTTGCTGAAGTGAGGATTTCCCATGTTAAAAAGAAGAGAATTTTCAAGAGGCTATACATCAGTGGATGAGAGTATACAAAATGTAAAATATACAAAACTAAAGGGATGACTAATTGAAAGCCCATGGTCTCAACCACCATGGTCTGGAAATGGTGATAGAAAATCCAGGTGTCATTTATTTATGGTGAGCACTTTATAAACTGCGTTTGTATGAAAGGGACATATTCACCACCAAAAACGTTGACAATTCTAAACTCAGTCACAAAAATGTACGAATTCGCAAACGTAGACCCAAAACCGGGGTATCTAATGGTAAGGTATCGCAGTAATACTTGCAACAATCTGTTTAGTGTTTCGTCAATGTTCCCTCAGTCCTGCGAGATGGAGAAACCCTCTACATTGTGCGGCCTGGTTCCTTGGTGTTCAGTAAGGTGTCACAAAAATTGTAACAGAAAAATATTGAAAAAAAATCAAACAGAAATTGAAAACACCCACCTTTAGCATCACAATCTACGCAGTATTTATTGTCTTCATCTTTCAGTAATGTAGACAGAATGACTTGATGTCGTTCTTGCATCACCTTATTTTTATCTCGATCGGATCGGGTAGACATTATAATGACAATTAGGATAATTGGAAGAATCTGTAAAATATGACAAATTTCAAGAAAATGGCTCTGACCGTATCACAAACTCGCGATTCACTTCCGTTTCATAACTTTGAACGTAAATATGTAGAATAAACTGTTTATACTATCTCATTTTGATTATACAATATATTTTGTTACAAAATCAAAAAATACATCTACATATGTATCGAAATTACTTGTTCCCTGGGGGTAAATTCAGCATAAATTTAGAACTTTATTTTGAGGATGCATATCCGGTGATGTCACGCGAATGAATAAATTAGTCCCAAGGTCGAATCCAATATTATATTTACGCTGGACCGATTGATATTCATTTTACGAATTTACTGTATTAGAATGGTTAAAAGAACGTAAAATCCTGATTACATTGCTGTAAGTATATTCAAATATATAAAGTGTTTGAAAATACATAGAATACGATTTCTTTCCATGGGATTATTGTGTCCAAACTTTCAAATTTTTCCATTTACTATCAAAATTTTTGACACAACTTAGATATAGGCTATTTCATTTGACATCTCTGAGATTTTAGACGACTGAGATAATTTTTACCGACTGTCTCCTGTATCAACAATTGTCGGGAGACTGCCCAGTATTTTGCTCCCGTACCGACAATTGTCGGTACTGGAGACTGCCCAGTGAGTATTTGCTTTGGTACTGACAATTGTCGTCACTCTATCCATGGGCTTTCAATTAGAAGTCTAGTTGAAAGCCCATGCTCTATCTTACTATATTTGCACATAGCCATCTTTAGATAGATGGCTATGCATTACTCGAGTCTCTAGCCAATTCTTGGCTACAAGTGTTTCCATCTGGAACACCGTGAACTATTGTAAAATCTTAAGGTCTCATGGAAGTTAACAGGAAATGACAAAACAAAAAATGACAAAGCCATGCTGGATTTTGAAAATTTTTTGAACCAAGATAACAGAGTTCTGTTTGGACCTCCAGTCAGTTTAACTAGTTCCAAATATCATTTACATGACCAGGAACACAATTGAAATGGTCAGAATGACCATAAACATGATAAAATAACCTTTTTAGCCCTCTGAAAATGTGACTGAAAAATAGCTAAAAGTAGGTGCTCAGGAAAGGTCAATGAACAGAATCTTTTGATTTTTTCAGAATATGTGTCCAATATATTGCTCTAAATGACACAATCTTTGAAATTTTAAAAAATCGTCTGAAACAATAATGGCTGTAGTAAAAAGGAAAATAGATCGATTTTCAATTCAGTTTTTTTCAATTTTTTCTTTTTCTAAGAATGATATCAAATTTTTTTGAATTGTATCATTTAGAGCAATATATTGGGCACATTTTCTGAAAAAGTCAAAATATTCTGTTCAGTGACCTTTCCTGAGCACCTACTCTTAGCTATTTTTTAGTCACATTTTCATAGGGCTGAAAAGGTTATTCTATCATGTTTATGGTCATTCTGACCATTTCAACTGTGTTCCTGGTCATGTAAATGATATGTGGAACTAGTTAAACTGACTGGAGGTCCAAACAGAACTCTGTTATCTTGGTTCAAAAAATTTTCAAAATCCAGCATGGCTTTGTCATTTTTTGTTTTGTCACTTCCTGTTAACTTCCATGAGACCTTAAGCCGTCGTTCAATGAATTTATGTAATATTCTAAAAATCATTCTGTTAATATTTTATGAATTGAAATGATGACGGCTTATCTTGTTGATGAGATATTGAATGTTTTCATTTAAAATAGATGTTGTCTCGTTCTCCATTTTGAAAGCATGCCTTTTTTTCCGCTATAGCGATTTAGTCAAGATGGCCGCTTGTTGTAAAAATTTCCTTCAGTTTTCTTTTTTGAATAAATATCCTGCGAAGTAGACCAATTTATGAAATAGGACTGCATGTAAAGATCAATGAAGGTGAGTTTATTATGTTTACATCAATAAAAATAAGACGACTCGGCAATTTAAAGGCAAATTCAAAACAGCAAAGTGTGTCTTATTTATATTGTATGGCCACACTCAGTGGCCATAGAATATGGTAAGCTATGCATATCTTGATATTCCCAGCCCATGTTATAGGTCTTCTACAAAAATGTAAGAAATCTTGAAAACATTTACCCTAGTTCAATCGATGCATAACATTCTAAGGTATCATTTTTCTAACCATATCGGGCTAGCTGGAGTCAGGGGATAGTGTAATTGACGAAAAATGTATTTGGAACTTGTTATTTTCCATGTCGTCTGACCAGGAAGTCTTGCCAATGCGCATGCGTGTAACCGGAAGCAGAAATCTCATGGCATGGAAGCGCATGCGCATTACCCAACTTCCTGAGAAGCCATCTTGAAAATTATCAACTCTTCAACATTTTTCAACATCAAGATCTCAGAAGTTCAAATCTGACTTAAGATTTAAAATTTGAACTTCAATGACCTTTCAAGGTCAAAAAGTTCTTTTTTCAACTTGCTTCAAATTGACCAATTGTTTTTTCAAAATCATCTACAAGTTCTCAAAAGTTCAAATCTGACTATAGATTTGACCTTCAGTGACATTGTCAAGGTCAAAAAAGATTTGACCTTCAATGACCTTCTCAAGGTCAAAAAGGTCTTTTTTCAACTTGCTTCAAATTGACCAATTTTTTTTCAAAATTATCTACAAGTTCTCAGAAGTTCAAATCTGACTTTAGATTTGAGATATCACCTTCAATGACCTTTTCAAAGTAAAAAAACTTGCTTCAAATTGACCAATTTTGTTTTTCAAAATCATCTACAGAGTTCTCAGAAATTCAAATTTGTCTTAAGATTGAACTAATAATATTGTGAGCAACTAGGTGGTGACATTTTGTCATGTTAATGCCTTCTATGAGGCATGTCGTGATCATAGAATTTGAAATAAACCAGCCGCGATTTTTTTCACTTCACAATTTGAATTTCGAGTTTTGGTCTTGTCACTTATATTGCTTTAAATGACAGGAGCTTTGAAAATTTGAATTCATTTCTAGAAATGAAAAAAATATATTGGGCATGGGCACATTTTCTGAAAAATTCAAAATATTCTGTTGAGTGACCTTTCTGAAATGCTAACTTTTAACTTTTTTCAGTCACAATTTCAGAGGGCTGAAAAAGCTATTCCAAAATGAATTTTTATTTTATATCGGTATATATGTATAATTCCCCCTTCGACATTTTGAAAAGTGCTGAGACATTTCCGATGTAAACGATAACCCCATACAATTTGTGATTCAACTGCATAAAAAAAATCCTAAAATACTCAGGAATGTATCGAGGTAGGTTTTTTAAGTGTGCAATTGCATTTGCAGTACATTGTAGAAACGCTGCCTGAACAATCATTAGAGGAGTCCTAGAATTTGATAAACTTATTACTCGAGAAAAAAAGCTCAATAATGTCGCATTTTTACATTCCTGCCTCCTGAGGATAAAACTTTTTTGTTTTCTGAAAACCTCAGTCTGAAAATTACCACAAATGCTCAGGCGTAAACATGACACGTGTCTCATGTTTCTGCTGTTGAGCACATTACATATAAAATCTTACCTATTTGCTCATTTTATTTTCAGGTGAATACCTCTAGAACTCAACAATGGCATATCAACAACAGCAGCAGTATTTCCAGAATGCTGCATATCAGCAACAGTTTCAACAGAATGACCCATACTTTCAACAACAGCAACAGTATTATGCCCAACAGCAAGCATATGCTCAACAGCAAGCATATGCCCAGCAACAGCAAGGATATGCCCAGCAACAGCAAGCTTATGCTCAGCAGCAACAAGGATATAACCAGCAACAGTATGGGCAAACTCAGTTGGAAACCCCTGCCCAACAATCTGAAGCAATTGAGATGGATGAACTGGGTGATGGTGATGAGGAGTCTGAGCAATCAGAAATGGCCTTTGATTTTGATGATATTTCCTGGGATAATATTGACATTGATCGTATGATTGGTCCCCCTGTTATCTGGGATTACCCAAATTTGATGGAGACTGTCGTTGAACAACCCTGGACCTTTAAGCAACTAACAGGTACAGGGCATCCCTTGAAGTGGCACTTCACAAGGCAGTCTACTGATGATACTGTGCACTGGACATTCAGTAGACAGACTCCCAAAGCCTCTACAATTCATTGGTCTTTCGATCAAAGGCTACCAAGACAAACTACGGTTCTATGGAGTTTTCAACGACAAATGCTAAGTGGATCTTCGATCAATTGGGGATTCTTACGACAAAGTCCAGGGCAGAGTACCATAAACTGGAGGTTCAAGCCCCAAACATCGACCATTCACCCCATTAACTTCAACTTTCCTAAGGTTACTCCACAATCTACAAGTGTGAACTGGAGTTTTCCCAGACAAATCAAAGGATCGAATGTCCATTGGGGATTTCAAAAACAAACACCTACTGGTGCTTCAAGTGTTGTCAATTGGACATTTGCAAGGCAGACCAATCTCCATGGCAATGTTAATTGGGGCTTTGAAAAAGCCTTACAGATTCGTGATCAAGTTAAATGGACTTTCCCGAGAGTAACTGCAAGTAAAGGTAACGTCAACTGGGGCTTTACCAAGGTCACACCCACTAAAGGTTCTGTAGCTTGGGGTTTCAAGCCAGCTCTTGATAAGAACATCTGTACAGATGTTAATTGGAACTTTCCAAAGAATCTTCAGTCAGCCCAGCAAACAATGACCTGGAACTTTGAAAGTAATGTGGGTTCGATAAAGCCTTTAAAATGGCAATTTCCCAAAGCATGTGATTACAGGGATAAAACAATTGAAGAGGTTAAGAATGAAAATGTTAATTTTAAGGAAACATACAACAACAATTACCACAAACCGCATCATGAGTATAGAAATGTTAGGGATTAAAATGGGCCAAACATATAAATATCACATGTTGCGATATTAGAAAATACTGTTCTCCTTGGCTGATATAATAGGATCATAAATGGGAAATAAAATGGACCATTTTTCATCCTTCAAATTTTATTTAAAATTTGTATATACAGATTGATAATACTACTGCATAGTAAAATTCTTTGGTCCCTTTTTGTTCATTGACAGTACAGTATTTACTAAAAAGTTAAGTAGTATCCATCAAATGTTACGTGTTTTCAACCATAATAAAAAAATTCGACATGTTTTATAACATTATAATTCATCCAAAAATGAAATCATTTGAACCTGAATGTACAATTTGGCCCAAAAATATTCCAGATCATTTAAACTCAATGCCTCAGTCACATTTGCTCTCGATATGGAGAGTGAATCGCTGCCATGTTCCCTGAAATTGTAAAATACCTTTGGCAGCTATAGAAAATCAATGATCCCCTCATAGTCGCCGTATGGCTGCATGCACCTTTTTACATGCTGAAGGTACCCCTTGCATTCATTTGCATCTCCATTGGTGATTGTTAAAAGCCTATGGCCTCTTGGGATGCCAGGTTTTCTGTCTGCACTAATTCAAAAGATGCTGTAGCATATGTGACTGTAGAAATTCTATGATGGCTATTGGCCAAACGGGGGCGTAGCCAGCAAATGTCGTCAGCAGGGATGCGATTTTAAGCAAATATTGTGTATAATGACCAATGAAAGCAAATGGTGTATTTGATGCATACTGTAGATACAGACATTGTTACTTAGTATCCCATTTATCGCCTAAAAACACCTGACAAACATTTTACAAAACATGAAATGCAATGGGAAACAAGAAATTTCACAAATCCATGGGGATTTAATTGATGAAGATTAATCTTCATGAATTTTCACGAAAAATATTAGGAGTACAGTAGATGAACATCACAATGAGTTCATGTATTTACACATGAATATGAACATGTGCCTCAGTCAAAAGCTGAGAGAATCTCCTGTGTGTCTATATTTATTCAGATATTAATGTTCAGTACCATGCTAAAAATTTATTTCATGTTAACTATTGTCCTACATGAAGAGCTTGTGTCATTATATCCATTACTCTATCCCAATATATATATACACTGCATATATAGCTGTTGTGAAATAGAGAGATGGGTGGCCGAAGAACTTCATGCAAGAATACTTATTGTCCTCATCTAGTCTGACAGCCATTTATGTCTAAATATATTATGAACTATATGACAAATACACAGAAGGACATCCATGGTGGCTGTAAATATTTAGATTTTCAGTTGCCTAAAATGTACATAAAACATAGATGGACATTTTTTTAAATAAATATTACCAAAGGGGACTCACTTTGCACCATTTATAAACTAGTGTCAACCTAACTCTCAACTGCTAGCAAGTCTATGATATTGCAAACCTTTCATTAAACTTATTTTCTCTAATTATTGTGATGCACAGCAACACTGCAAAACGTAACCCCAAATAGACATCTTTCCATCGAAACCTGAAGATTTTGGTGTTGTTTGGGTTTTTCAAATTTTATGAATTAAACACACTGTATATAATATGATTGAATATTGAAAGGATATAATAATTGTTCAAAATGTCTATGTCTATGTCAATAATCTGCAAAAGGCTAATAAGCCCATATAAAGCAGATATATAATTTAACAGTGATAGAATTTGAATAGAATATAATTTAAAACCTTAACATTTAAAAATAGATCTATGGTTTACAACTCATTTTACCTGGGGAGACTGTCAGGCTACCGCGTTGACATCACCCCTCTTTACCAGTAGTGCAGGCAAACAAGTGTTTTAAGAACCAGGTTTTACCCCGTATAAAGTGTTTTTTTATAAAACTAACCAGAAAGAGCTTTCTATTTCTAAGAATTAATATGGTATATAAGGTAAAACTATGTACAGTATTTATAAGTGTAGTCAAGTTATAATGTTTTCATGTATTAACATATTATGTGTGACTGATTGTCTTGTGTGTAATATAGTGTTATTAATTCTCTGTAAAGTATATGTAAATATTCCTTTATTATTTAGTTATACAAAATATTTAGTTTTATACATTATATTTCCAGTCTGTTTGTTGACTGATACTATTTTTATTTTATATATATCAGGGTTATGTACTGGAAGGTTTTGCATATAGGGTATATCCCGAGGGATATATTTATATCGCCCTAAGGGACCAAAGGGAGATATAAATATATCCCTCAGGATATACCCTTTATCCAAAACCGACCACACATAACTGGTTTATCTCATACTTGAGTGGGTTTGGGGTAGATATAATCCTTTCCACCTTTTTCAAATGACAAGATACCTATACTGTAAGAGCACAATTTACATGTAACATTTTCGTAATGTTCCTTTAGTTCAATGCAATGAAATTGTAACATTTAAACTTTTTAAAAAATTTTAAACTTTTGAAAAATTCCCGGGAGCGTGATGTTTATTTATATCTGCCTGCGTTTGGCCTGGAGCGGGACATATGCTCTGTTCCTCAAACAGAATTGCTTGTGCATAAAGGCTTGCTACAAGACTGCCTGTGTTCACAGATGCATTATTAGATCATCATTACATTCATTTTATGATTCTCGAAATTAGGCACAATGTTTCAAAAGCCTTTATCAAATATCTTTATTTGTATTATTATTGGAAAACTGGGTATAGTAAATATGCCAATTTTATAATATATTTTCCCTTTTTAAGCATATGAAACAAAACCAGCCATTTATGTGTTGAATAATGGATTTTCGGGTATACAAATGTATATCGTAGAATCTTCTACTATATTATTTTATGATAAATACGTATATTCAATATACCTATGACTTTTAAATATTCTGGAATGTTTAAATCATTTAAAATTTAATGATAAATATGAGGACAGTAACAAAATGTTATATTTTATTTGATTTACTGCAAATAAATGTTATATATGAACCTAATTTTTGTGCTCATTCCTTTAGCCATGTTAGAACTTGCAGGCAATTTAGATATATTTTCGGAAATTGTAAAATCATTTGGATATACTACTATTACAGTGGCGGATCCAGAAGCTAACAAGGGGGGTCCAAATTTTGATTCAGTAAAAAATTCTCCTTGAAAAAAATTTTTGGCCCCTAAAACCCAAAATTGAGCCCAAATTTTGAAAATTGAAGGCCTTGCCAAAAAAGGCCCATTTTTTGAGGCCTTAGAAAATCCTGGGCCCAAATTTTTTTCTGGGCCCACAAAAAAGGGCCAAGAGACACAGATCATCTGTTTTTTTCAAAAATAGACCCATTTTCGATGAAGTTCCACAATTTTGGATTCACATTGTCATTTACAAATTGCAATTTATGTAATTGGAAATTAAAGCTGATCGGATAGATATAGAGAGAGCCAAAAAAGGTAACCCAATCAAATCTTAATAACTCAGTCATCGAGTATGGGTTAAAACTCATATTTGGCACAGTTGAACCTTGGTTTTTGCATTCACTTATGTTCCATTGGTTTGTTCCAAATGGTCACAATTTTATGGCCATTTTACAAAACATGCTCGAAATGTCACTCTTCTTTTTGGAGGCAAACTTGAACGTATCAGGTGAAGTTTTTTGTTTGATTACAAGCTCACAGATATCTTGTGCAATGGCTCTCATTTGCCTTCTTATCTCTTGTTTCAATTCACTGATGCTTCTAGGGTTGTTAATATAAACGTTATCTTTGAAATAGGCCTAAAGATAAAATTCTAGGATTTCATATTGGGAGATTTTTGTATGATTTGGCATTCAACCCTGTATTTAAGATATGATTACATTTTCGGGCAGTTTTTTTTGATGTCACCACCATAATAGCATAAGTGGTAACTTTTTGGTGGAATGTTCGGTGGTTGATGTTTGGCATTCAGTGGTTGATGTTTGGTGGTCGATATCTGTATCAAATAGTAGGTGGTGACATTTTGCATGTTAATGCCTTGTTTGGGTTACCCTGTAGTATGCACTTGATCATAAATCAAAGAATAAATTTTTATTACATGTATGTCCCTACCACCATGTGCGGGCCATGTCGTTGGCCTTGGCACGTATGCCTCTCTGTCTGTACATCTGACATTTTCTCAAAAATTGCAACAGATATCACCTTCAAATTTTCAGGGATAACTTTTTGCTACATACAGGTGTGGTACAGAAAGATAAAATCATTGTCTGCATTAGGTTTTAGGCATGTTTGCTAAATCTTGGCAGCCATTTTGAAAAGTCGGCAAGCAATCTATTTTTGTATCATATTAAAACATGATGCTTTTGAGTTTTTATAAAGAAACTATTTATTAGCTTTAAAAATTATTTCGAGTGTTCTGCATTGTGAAATAAATGAGATAATTTTGTAATAACATTCAATAATACGAGTATGCTTGCATAAATGTATAATTGAACACATTTTCAATCAATGTGCTTAATACATGTGATTTACTAATAAAGCCATAGATTTTGTAATTGTACAAATATATTTGTCTTCTTTAATGCTTCAGAAGATCATATTATACATGTAATCTTTGCCACCAGGGGGATTTTGGGACTTTGAGATAATGTGAAAAAGTGAGTACATTCATACTGTTCCAGTGATCTCCACAGGATTTTTTCTCAAGTGGGTGCAAAATCCTCATTTTTACAATTCAGACCAAAATTGGTCAAAATATGCCAATTTTTCATTATTTTTCTCATTTTCAAGTGGATGCAAATGGATTTTCAGGTGGGTGCAAGCCTATTTTCAAAATCTCAGGTGGGTGCTGCGCCCACTTGCTTTAATGCTGGGGAGACCACTGTGTTCCTATGAATTATGAATCACTTTAGACTCAACTTCAGTTGAAATGGACTGTTTTTCATTCCTAAATGATCACAACTATCATCAAATGAATGGAATTCATTTTTCATTAAACAGTTTAAATATTCCAATTCATTTTATCTTAACAATCCTGACTCACTTTGCATTTACTATAACTTTCATTGTACAAAAATTCAGAATTAAGAAATCATCTCTAAGGCCCAAGCTAGTTTGAAAATGTTGTTTAATCATCCAAATGCTATTTGGTTTTAATAAAATATCTCTTTTGATTCAAATCGTGAGTTGCCATGATTATGATTTTGAATCATTCCTTGAAATTTTGAATAATTCACTTCCCATGATTTTGATTTGATCAGTAATCACATGCAAAATAGGAATTAACTTCCACTGGCCTTCGAGCAAAACACTGCACAACTTTTAATAGATATGGTGAATACAAAAATATTTGATGGATAAACTAGCAAGAGTATACTGCGCTCAATTTGAAACTACATAAATTAGATATTATAGTTTGGTGTCCTCAGTTTTTAAAAATGAATCTTTATTCATAAATCACCAAATTAAATGGGTCCAAATCCATAATACTCTAGTAGCTCATGCTGGTTGAGTATGCACTTCTATGTCCAGAGATTTTCTCTTCAGAAATCATCTATGTGAAGGTCATTGATCAATTTTGGCTTGGTAACATATTTGCCACAGAAGGCGAAATAGGTCAAATGGCCACGCCCTTTTTTACGCGAATACTCCCCCCCCCATTTTTGCATCTCTGGAACCGTTGGACATAGAAGGTTGTGTGACCACTCAAAATGTCCGGAATGGCCACATTATAGGGGGTCAATAATACATATGTATTTAAAAAAGTCAATGGTTCTCAAGATATTTGCCAAAAACTGATTTTAGCATGTTACGCACAACAGTTTTCATCTATC